CTTATCACGATTGCCCTCCCTAGAAGGGACGGCACCCGTGAAAAGTTCACTCAGCGTAAGCTTGCTGCGATTGCTAACGAATTGTTGGGCTCCCTCGATCCGTCACATACCGACCAGAGGGGGGTTGATTCAGGGATGAGAACCGATCCAGCCGATCCCGATACACACTCCCATCAGTCCGATGATGCCATGGAGCCGCGCCATCCGCCGCCGCCGCCGCGCCCTGCCCCTGGCGATGCTGCGCAGTCCAGCGCCTCTGGCGCGACGGACCACGCGCCCGCGGGGCCACGTGTCAAGAGAGCGCGTACATCAGATTACGCCGCCTACTGGCGCGACGACCTCGAGGACAGCCATTGGGGCCTCAGGTATTGGAGCTACTACATCAACTGTGTGATCTACATCGCGATGAACAACGACGAGTACGTATACATCCATGACATCCAGTACAATGATTGGTTTCGCCACTGGATCCCGAGGACATCTTGGGAAACGTTCACGACGAGCTACGTGACGTACAATGGCCAGAGGATGTGGGGCCGTAGGTTCTACTTGAACGGCAGCGCGTAGTGAGTCGGCCGCAAGGCCCACCGCTCAAAGGCATGAACTTCGTTATAACCAAAGTTTGCCTTGAGTGGTGGCTATGCATTCTTTTAGGCCACTTCATTATATAACACAAGTGGCCACACACATACCTTTTGCGATAACCGAGGCAGCCTCCCAAGGAGCAAAGCCAACGGGGGTCGCCAAACATAATTTATATACATGCAGTTTTCGTGTTTTTCAACACGACATTCCGTCTGGCCAGACATTTGCTTTTACACGCAGTTGCGTTTCGTTGCAAGATCGCGTTCGTCAGCGCGATCTTAGCATGCATATTCTTTAGAGTTTAACATCATTGCGTTGATAATAATCTGATAGCTGGTGGCAACACCTGCCTCGCAAACGCGAGGCAGTTTACATGTTGCTTTAATGCTCAGATCTTCTTTCTCCGCCCACCCTTGTCTCATTCTTCTCCGCCCTCGCGTGCCGAAGCGTTTTGGGGAGCGCACCGAGGGGGGGCCAAAGTGTGCTTGGCGAAGAAATGGGGACCCAGGGTGTTCCTTCTTACTTCACTTTGCAGCTGAGGCTACACTGACTTTAAGCCCAGCTGTCTGCAGACTTAAGGATCATAGGGGTAAAAGGGTGACGGATTCTCTTCCTTTGTTCCCGAGTCCCGCCCTCGCGGGCGGGATTCGGGGCGGGGGGTGTGAATAGAACCCGTGTAATACCCTCATCTATACTCCTTATCCTTACCTCTCCTGCGCCTGGCCGTTTGGGCTCAGGTATTGAGATAGATCGATCAGACCTTTGATCGTGCAGGAGGGGGAGACATCCATCTATCCCTCCTTATCTCTACCAACGGATCAGGGGTTCTGTGCCCTTGTACTTCAACCCCATACACAGTGAACGCGACAGCCGCGAGGTATGGCCGAACCAAATCATTCTCCAAAGTGACAGCGCAGGGACTACGAAGGCGACCGTAGTGACGGCGCGCTGACGAGAATCGCCCCATTGGCCCCCATTATCCCACCTGCTTCGGGAGAAGGGAGATCATGAGAGAGCGAACGTGGTGAGGAACGACCGATGTAGCCTCCATGATGTTGTGCGTGGACAATGACAACGAGGGCTCCCTCCGACATCGCGGCGTCGTGGCGCATGTGTAATCCATCCGCGCTGATTGATGTCCCCTTGGGGCATGACCTCGAGACCCTGCCAAGGACGGTTGGCGCCTCAAAAGGGGGCGGCCCCAGGTAGCCCGATCCCCCGCCCGAAGAAAGACTCATCCTGACCGAACTATTTCGAATCCGCGTCGAGCGCAGGTGGGGGCGAGGGAAAAACTGAAACGGGGGCTCGCGCCCAGTTTGCCAGAGGCGGCTGAAACGACAAGCCTCCGACTGACGGGGCGACCGAGGAACAGACAACGTCAAATTATTGGTCGGGAGGGTGGCGGTGGGCTTCCACAGCCCCGCATCGCGGGCCCACCAGTGGACCTCACGGGCCCCCGACTCGACCCCCTCGAGCAGCCAGGCCCTCCAACTCTCATCCGCAGCCGTCTTCCCCTTGCCCGAGAACGTCCCCAGGAAACCAGAAACCTGCCCCAGCCGGTCGGCGCACTGGGGCAGCAGCGGATCTTCAGAAACCTCAGGGGTCTCACAGAGGAGGGCCCTGAGTGCAAGATGGGAGAGCAGAATCGATACCACTTTGGACGAAGGCTCGGACCTGCGAGCAAATGGCCAAACGCCTCCCGAGGTCGTCGTTGATGATGGGCGGATGGCCCGCCAAACAACCAGCCGAGTGCAGTGCTGAACTTCGCTGCTCGCCATGTTGATAGGCTTCGGCAAGAAAGATGCGGTAGGTGCTCTCCAAACGCCTGACAGCGTAGAGGTCTGGTTGTCTCGCCACCCTTTTGTCTTTGTCGAGAACCGATGTCCAAGCAAGTTTGGGGAGGCGGCCGTTGGCCCCGAACGCAGGCAAAGACCACTGACGATACGCGACGACCTCCAAATCAGCTTTATCCGCCCAGAGCCGATAAAGGCCGTCGAAGACCCAAACAGTGCTGTGCGCAGCCGGGTTTCACGTCCCAGCTAGGGTGCGGGGCCGATGACACAATCAACAGGGATGGGGGGGTGCTTTGCAAACCCATAAGCGTGCAGCTGACCAGTCTGGCGAAAGAATGCGAGGCGGACTGGCTTATGCGCTTTAGTCGCCGCCACAACCATATCGAGGTATTCTGGATGGCCTTGGGCAGGCCAATAGACACCAGGAAATAGTCCAGCTTGCGAACTCCCTGTGCACAAGTGCCCGTGCACGTGCCAGCCGCATTTGGGTAGACTATGTTAGCAGGCAGGGTACTGACAAGCTCCGACGACGCCAGCTCTTCGGGCTCCATCTGGAAATCAGCGCTGAGAACGTACAAACCCTGGTAAGACGAACGTAGAGCGCCTATGAAGGACAGAATGTCCAAATTGTGCACCGAGAGGCCCTCCGAGTCCTTGAGCTGCCCACAGACGGCCAGGAATTCCAAGCCCCCTGGAACCTGAACGACAGCAGCAGCAACTCTGCACATGACCACACACGGACCGTCAGTGATACCGTGTAAGCCGAGTAACTCCCTTGCCAGGATAGCATCACCACAAGAAGAGCCTTGACCCTCTCCCCTGGAGGCCGGGAGAAATCGTGATTTCCACCCGATCTAGAAGTCCGCTGCGAGGCCTCGCTCGCCTGAGCATCGCTGACCAGGTGAGTTTCCTGAACCAGAACAACGTGTGCGGCAGTCATGGGTAGCCAGGTCTTCGCGCTACCCCAGCGCGTGCAATTTGCTGCCACTCAACAAAGTTCAAAAAGTGTCCGAGCAAGCCGGGGCCCTGAGACCTGTGCAACAATCCAAGGGGGGGGGCCTTGGAGGCGGCTAGGCGAACAAGCCTTGAGATAGCAGGTGAAAGCCCCCCCACTCAAAAAGTGATGGCAGGACCCCCCCCCCTCGCCGCCGCCGGCCCTGCGCTGGCCTGAGCTGGGAACGAGGGGGATTCGGGAACCATCCGTTTTGGCAGCAGGTGCCACGAGGACAGAGCGGGCCCGCTCACGAACGTCAGCGGCAGGGGCGCCAGGCTCAGCGGCGTCATCAGCAGGTGCTTGCCTCTGCTGGTCGCCAGCAGCTCCGCCACTTCCGTGTCCAAGCCCACCCTCGGCGCCTGCGGTTTCGCGAACTGGCGATCCTGAAGTGGCATGTGGGGGCCCCTCCGACCGTGCGCTTCTTGGCGAGGCGTTTGACGTGAGCTGCATGGTCAGACTTGATCTTGTCGATGGAGGCCGCCGTGCTGGAGAAAAGGTCCTTCGTGGGGGCAGCCAGTCCTGCCTGGGGCTCAGCGCGACGCTTGTCGAACTCCTCGCGATCCTTGGGTGACAACTCATAGCCGGTGTCGTCCAGGGCGAGGGGCTCTTCGTAGTCGGCGATGGCGATAGCGTCGGGCTTTCCTTAAAGACACCACATCGCGAATGCTGAAGCCAGCGCGCACGACAGGACCAGTGGCAGCAGGCTCTGGCTGAAGAGCTGCCTTGTGGAGGCGGGGGACCAGATCTTTGTGAACTAGGTCTTGCTTGTTGAGCTCGGCCTGAGCGTCGGCCGCGGCGGTGGTACAATGCCTGTGCCACTTCCGAGCCGTCTCCAGGTTGTCGAGGTCTCGATTGAGGCGCCGCTCCAGGATGCGGACCTGCTGCAGCGCCTTGTTAGCCTGACGCTCAAGGGGCTTCTCAACGGGGCCCTTGACCGCGTCAACCTTCTGCTTCTTCCAAACCTGGTATTGCGACTTATCGACTTGATCACCGAATGTAGTGACCATGGCCAGCAACGAGCCGATATCTTTGATCTTGATGTCAGGCGGCATGGAGCTAGCGCCGCCCAAGAGGGCGAGGGCCTAGCCTCCTCCTCGTCGCCCGCGATCCGTCGCCGTAGTGTTCCACGACGACCTCAGAGCGTGGGCGGCGGCAATGTTTACACCATGTGAACCACTTGAGGTTCTTGCCGCATCCACAGTCCGCGTGAGCTCACTCCCGCCTGGGACCAGCTCCGCCCGCATCGCATTTGTTCCAGGACCACGAGCTGACACCTGCCATGGCTTCGTTCTGCTCTGAGTGTCGAGACCGAAAGGGCAACCGAGCCACTCTGGATCGCGTTCACCCAGCCGTTCTGACTCGTGCCATAACGGCTGGGAGGAGGAGGAGGAGGAGGAGGAGGAGGAGGAGGAGGAGGAAGAGGAGGAAGAGGGAGGAATCCATACGGATGACCAGGAGCAGGCGGACGAGGAGGAGGAGGAGGAGGAGGAGGAGGAGGAGGAGGAGGAGGAGGAGGAGGAGGGGGGAGGACGAGAAGGACAAGGAAAGGAAGGAGGAGGAAGGAGAAGGAAGGAGGAGGAGGACGGACAACCATGAGCAGGAGCAGGAGCATGAGGGGGGCAGCGGAGGAGCTCGAGCTCTACGCCTCGCTGCTCAGGGTCCGCGACCGGCAGGTGGGCGAGCTGCAGGGCCTGTGCGAGGCGAGCGACCCCCGCCTCGGGCTGCGGCGGGGTTTGGGCGACGATACGTTGTCGGACATATATATATATATATATATATGTGTAGATATAGGTAGGTATGTATATATGTAGGTAGGTAGGTAGGTAGGTAGGTAGGTAGGTAGATAGGTAGGTAGGTAGGTATGTATCCATGCATGCATACACGTATGTATGTATGCACGTACGTCTGTATAGCTGGCTCAATGTCGGTCTGTTTGTATGTATGCATGCATGCATGCATGCATGCATGTCTATATGTATATATTGGTTACGAGCGATACATCCATACATACACATATATCGGAGGTGTGGGGGTGAGATCGATGTGGAACGGAGAGCCCCCCTACCGAGAAATCGATTTCGGTTTCGTGTTCGTGCGTGCCGTGCGTGCAGGCGAGGCGAAGCTGCGTGGACGGGCGAGAGAATGTCTCCTGTGGCTGAGGCGCGGCCAGACCAAATGTTTGGCGCCCCGGCGTCCGGGGCCAGGCGGTGTCCCGCCGGTGTCCCGCCGGTGTCCCGGTGTCCCCGGCGAACGGTGCCGCGCGGTGTCCCGCTGGTGTCCCGCTGGTGTCCCGTTGGTGTCCCGTTGGTGTCCCGATGATGATGATGATGATGATGATGATGATGATGATGATGATGATGATGATGGTGATGGTGATGGTGATGGTGATGGTGATGATGATGATCATGCTGATGCTGATGATGATCATGATGATGATGATGATCATGATAATGATGATGTTGATGATGAGGATGACGATGATGATGATGATGATCAGGATGATGATGAGGATGATGATGATGGTGGTATTGATGGTGATAAGGATGATGATGATGATGATGATGATGACGATTCTGATGATGAGGATGATGATGAGGATGATGATGATGGTGGTGGTGATGATGAGGATGTTGATGATGATGATGATGATCATGATGATGATGATGGTGATGCTGGTGATGATGGTGATGATGGTGATGATGGTGATGTGGTGATAATGGTGATGATGGTCATGATGGTGATGATGGTGATGATAGTGATGATGGTGATGCTGGTGATGAGAATGATGATGATAATTATGATGTTGATGATGATGATATTGATGATGGTGATGGTAATGATGAAGATGACGTCGATTGTGAGATCGATTGTGAGATCGATAGTGAGTGATGGTGATGATGATGGGGATCATGATGAGGATGATGATGATGATGATGATGGTGGTGGTCATGATGATGATGATGATGATGCTGATGATGATGATGACGATGATGACGATGATGATGATGATGAATATGATGATGATGACGATGATGATGATGACGATGGTGGTGATGATGGTGATGGTGATGGTGATGCTGGTGATGATGGTGATGATGGTTATGATGGTGATGATGGTGATGTTGATGTTGTTGATGATGATGCTGATGATGATGATGATGATGATGCTGGTGTTGATGGTGACGATGATGATGATGGTGATGATGATGATGTAATTGTTGATGATGATCATGATGATGATGATGCTGATGGTGATGGTGATGATGATGATGATGATGATGATGATGATGATGATGATGATGATGATGATGATGGTGACGTCGATTGTGAGATCGATTGTGATATCGATAGTGAGATCGATAGTGGGACCGAATTTGAGATCGATTGTGGGATCGATAGTCAGATCGATTGTGAGATCGATAGTCAGATCGATTGTGAGATCGATCGAATGAGATCGATTGTGAGATCGATAGTGAGACCGAATGTGAGATCGATGGTGATATCGATTGTGATATCGATAGAGAGATCGATAGTGAGACCGAATGTGAGATCGATTCTGAGATCGATAGTGAGATCGATTGTGAGATCGATATTCAGATCGATTGTGAGATCGATCGAATGAGATCGATAATGAGATCGATAGTGAGATCGATAGTGAGATCGATCGAGTGCGACGTTGGTTCCTCCCCCCCCTCACCTCCTTATCACCCGAAGGGTGGTCGTATAGGTATATATATATAAACATGTATATATATACATTTGTATGTTTGTATGTGAAGACATAGGTGTGTATATATACACACCTATGTACATAATTATATGCCTGCATATCGTCTTTGTGCATATATGCATGGTTGCTAGGTTCTCGCAATTTGCGACGTGCGGCTTCGGCCAGAAGGCGGCGGCGTTCAGCGACGCCGGGGAGATGC